TGCCTGCCTTGGCCTCCCAAAGTTCTGAGATTACAGGTGTGAGCCACCACACCCAGCCTGTGGGGTTTTTTTGTTTTGTTTTGTTTGTTTTAAGACAGGGTCTTGCTCTTTTACCTAGACTGGAGTGCAGTGGTGTGATCACAGCTCGCTGCAGCCTCCACCTCCCTGGCTCAAATGATCCTGCCACCTCAGCTTCCTGGGTAGCTGGGACTAATTTTTTCTAGAGACAGGTTTTTGTCATGTTGCCTACCTAGGCTGGTCTCAAACTCGTGGGCTCAAGCAATCTGTCTGCCTTGGCCTCCCAAAGTTCTGGGATTAGGTGTGAGCCACTGTGCCCAGCCCATTTTTTTTTAAACACCTGTAAACTTTGTGTAGTCTGTCTTTGTATCTTCCCTGCTAGTATCTTTGTGCATTTTCTCAGTGATTTAATATTTGAATGCAAAGGTGTAGCACTGTATATAGACTGCCAAAATACAGTCCAAAGATCAGGGTTAGGATGATATTCTTTCACACGTGATCCTTGTTTTTGGTCACTCTTGGAATTTTTGGGGGCAGAAAATTTCATTCCCTTTGAGGTATGCTAGTAATAATAACGGACTTCAATACAGAAGTGTTGCTTGGACTAACTACACTAATCGCCTATTTCTGTTACTAAAAATTGTCTCTCAACAGAGGAGACTAGCTTCATCTAAGAGAGTATTATATCAGTTAGTTTTGTGGAGTTTAGCTAATTGTGAGATGGATTTCCTCTTAGAAGATGTACCTCATATGCCAAATTGTTTGGAAACTTTTTTAAAAATACATTTTAATTGAGGCAGGGTCTTACTCTGTTGCCCAGGTTAGAGTGCAGTGGCATAATCATAGCTCACTGCAGCCTTGAACTCCTGGGCTCAAGCAGTCTTCCTGCTGCAGCCTCCCAAGTAGCTGATACTATTGGCGTGTGCCACCATGCCCAGCTGATTTTTTAAAATTTTTTTGTAGAGACAGGATCCTACTATGTTGCTCAGGCTGGTCTTGAACTCCTGGGCTCAAGCAAGTCTCCCACCTCAGCTTCCCAAAGTGTTGACATTACAGCTGTGAGCCACCATACTGGGCTTTTTTTTTTTTTTTTTTTTTTATGGGGTTTG